ATTTCCCAATTAATCCTCTAGATATGTTTAAAATAAAGGGAATATTTTCATCTTTTTTTTTTTTTTTGCAACATATTTACATCTTTCAATTCTTTTCCATTTCAAAATCCGCCTCTCTCTTCCATTTTTTTTTCTTCAGAAATTAAAAAATATATTTATAAAGATATTCACACAATTCTTTTTATTGAGGTATGCATCTTTATTCGTTTTTTAAGATTTATTTTATGATTTTATTTTTGTTTAAAATTGTTGTTTGTAGTTGGAATCACGTTTAGGATTTGATAAACTCTAAATCACGCTCCAATGGCAGAATCTAAGAGAATTACTAGAGGTATCCAACTTAATCAACAATTTTCTATTTTTTAATATCACAATTTTCTACTTAGAACACAAATGACGACAATTTTGTATTTCATTATCACTTTATCTACAAACAAGTTCTACTTTTTTTTTAATTTTGTATTCACCATAATGGTATACCAACAAAGTCACATTTGTATTTCAATTGAAATGAGTATTTATTGTGCTGATTTTGTATTTCAATCTCAATTTTCAATGACAACATATTTCTTTTTTATTATGTTTTCATCATAATTGTATACCAACAACTTTTATATTTTATGTGCTCACTTTACCATTCAAATTAAAATTGGTATTTTACTTTCATAGTGAAAACTAAAAATTGTATTCTAGTGATCAAAATTGTATTACATAACTGCCAAATATATTTTTCTTTTATTCGTATTACAAAAATATTATTCATTGTATCACAATATAATCTAATCATTACATATGAATACGTTTAAAGAAAGATACAAGATTCTGATAAAAGAATAGCATACATAATAAAAATAATACAATCTGTTGAGGAATTAATGATACAATATTCTAAAAAAAATACAAATTTACTGTGAAAGAAATATGATACATCTATGTTTAAGAAATACAAATCAATTTGGCATACCAACTGGAATGACTACAAACTAAAAAAATTTACAATGTTCTTAATAAAAATATAAATGTTAGAGTAAAAGAAAAACAATTGACAAACAAAAATTAATAGGAATACAATTTTTGCAACCTTCTTCTCCATTCTCTCATTCTTTGCAACCTTCTTCTCCGATTCTCTCTTTTTTTCTTCTTCTTCACGAAAGTCGATTTTGGTTCTAATATCTGATCCGTTGAAGCCATGGTTGGATATAAAAAAAACGCAATTTAATCAAATTCATTTCAACAGAAATTGAGTATTATCAATGAAAATTTAAAAATCAATATTAGAAATTTGATGAACAAGTGGGGTGAGTTCTTTGTGTTTTTTTTAATTTGTATTTAGTTTTGAATTTTTGTAACTGATGAGACTTTTAAGCAATTGTTCCTTTTTAAAAAATTTCTCTCCCCTAAATTTCTCCTTTCTATTATTTAATAATTGTATTCTTTAAATAAAACAAATAATAAAAACTTAAATAAGATACATATTAAACTAAAATTCTGACATTTTTACTAAATATTGAAAGTATTGACAATGAGTCCTATTAAATGTTAAAATATTGACATTTCGAAAAATTTCCCTTTATTAATTCACCCGATCTCAACCAGCCAAAATTCAGGCCAACCCGTCCATTTGCAACATATAGAAATGGGCCATCACTTAACCATAATGGGCCTCTACTTTTTACTCACAATGAAAGTCCAGCCCAAAGAAAGAATCTCAATCAAAACTACACTATATATATTCATGGATCAGCTCAGTGTGCTTGAAAAAACCCTAGTCTCCATCGCCGTCTGAGCAGTAACCTCAAAGGAGCAGTAGCCATGGGTGCGTATACTCAAAACTCGTTTTTTCTCTCAGTTTAGATTCATCTTCGTCGTATTGAAGTATTTATGAAAGTAATTTTGTGATTTTTTCCAATTTGCATTTGTTGTTTGAGATTAATGTTATTGTGGTGGAAATGCAGCGAGAATAAAGGTTCATGAGCTGAGGAACAAGTCGAAGACAGAGCTTTTGGCTCAGTTGAAGGATCTGAAGGCGGAGCTTGCTCTTCTCCGTGTTGCAAAGGTCACCGGTGGTGCTCCTAACAAGCTATCTAAAATGTATGTGGTTTTTTCCTTCTTTTGTTAATGTTTTATAGTAAACTGTCTATTCGGTACTAATTAGTTGTATTTTTTGGTTAGTAGGATTTTACTATTGTATTCCCCTTATAAACTGTTTTGTCTATCGGAATTAACCTTTTTACCTCCTCGAGCTAGTGGTAAGGTCTGCGTTGTGCTCTTACACATAGCATGTTGTTGTTGGTCAATATGATTTGGTTTAGGCTCAGTATTTATGTAGTAAGGAGACACTTGGTATGTTGTTGTTGTTGGTCATATGATTTCGTTTAGGCTATGTATTTGTGGAGTAAGGAGTATTGCTTTAGCATAAAGTGTGTAGTTTAACTTGCCTTTAAGTTGCTAGAATCAATTTTATATATATTCATTTGTGTTATCACACAAATGCTGTTTCACACTTTTCTTTTTCATCATTTTAGTTGGTTTTTAAAAGTTTCTTTAATATTTTTTCCTTAGTTGAGAATGTTAAAGACTAAACAAAAAGTTTCAAAGATCCACCCACTCCATTCCCATCACTGTGGTAGCCATTGTTTTGTTGTTTCTTGAATCTTTCTCCAATGTATGCTTATATCTTCTAACTCAAAACTGAGGCCATAACAACAAAATAGTGACTGAACTAAAAACTAGGCTGTTGATGGATTTCTTTGAAGGATTTCTTTGTTTATAGAAGCTACATGTACCAAGAGGAGGATTTAGTTCGGTGTCCTTCATCTTGACTGCCATGGCGGCTGTAGCTACATGAAAATAATTGAGAAGTTTACTGGCCGGTTGTTGTAAATCTGTTGACATATCTGCTTACCGAACTTCTTACATTTTATCAGTGAAACGTGCTGAAGGTTTTCTTGTTTCTAATCAGGGTTGCTATTGGTGATTGTCCTTTGACACCCCTAAGAATTCCTTTGTATGGTGGTTTGGGTGTGGGGAGGTGGGGTCGCTAGTAAGATGTAAAGTAGGTTATAAAGTAAGAACTGGAAGTGATGACAAGTATCCAGTAGGGCGGAGTTGTTATTGTTTACTATGTTACCATTCCTAAAAGAACTTTGTAGTATGAAGTCTCAAAGATTTGCCATCCCTGAATAGACCATTGTTGTTGTTGTTTTCAAGTCTTTCTCCAGAATATCTTCTTGTGCTAGTTTCAAACCATAAAAACAAATATTTATTTTTCTTATGTTTAATATAAGGTGTAGATGAATTTCTTTGACGGAATGTTCTTTTTGTTGGTAGAAGCTACATGTACCAAGAGGAGGGTTAAGTATGATACCCATCATCTTGACTGCCATTGCGGCAGTAGCTATAGGAATACAATTGAGGAGTTTACTGGCCGGTTGTTGTAAATCTGTTGACATATCTGCTTACCGAACTTCTTACATTTTTCAAACCTAAATGAAGGTCATCTTGTTTATAATCAGTCTTGCTATTGGTGATTATCCTTGCTATCTGTTCTTTTTGAAGGGGTTGGGGTGTGGGGCTACAAATCACAAGGAGAAGAGTATCTAATGTGAGAATTACAAAAAGATAATGACAAGTACCCATTGTAATAGAATGGTTATTGTTTACTATGTTACATTTCTAAAAGAACCTTAGGATATAAAGTTTCAAAGATCTGCCCACCCTGCCGTCTCTGCTGTAGCCCGTTTGTGTTGGTCAAGTCTTTCTCCAGAAGGTGTTTCATATCTTCGAATGCTTAATTGAAGCCATAACAACAGATATTTATTGATCTAAATTTTTGACATAAGTTGCTGATGGGTTTCTTTGAGGTTAAGCTTCTTTGTTTATTGAAGCTACATTGTACCAAGAGGAGGGTTAAGTTGGTACCCATCATCTTGACTGCCATGGTGGCTGTAGCTATATGAATATAATTGAGAAGTTTACTGGCCGGTTGTTGTAAATCTGTTGACATATCTGCTTACCGAACTTCTTACATTTTGCACTAGTTGAACATTGTCTTGTTTTATAGTCCAACTTGCTATTGATGATTATCTTATGTGAGCAGTACAATAACATTATGACAAGTATTCAATTGAGTAGTTTAGTGATTGTTTACTGTTACTATCATTATGCATATCCTTTTATTTATGTTGCTGGATTTTGTGGATGCAGTAAGGTGGTAAGGTTGTCGATTGCACAGGTTTTGACTGTCATCTCACAGAAGCAAAAGTCAGCTCTTAGGGAAGTTTACAAGAACAAGAAGTACTTGCCTCTTGATCTTCGCCCCAAGAAAACCAGAGCAATCCGTAAACGTTTGACTAAGCACCAGGTATCTTTCATCTATAGCATTCCATTGGTTACTCACTTAAGACTAGCTAGCTTGCATGTTCTCAAATCTACAGTGCATGTGCTGACTATGGGTTCCATTCAGTTTGTAAAACCGACCTGAAATCTAAGCTAACAATTGGATGACTTTTTTTTTCTCTATCGCTGCAGTCATCCTTGAAGACAGAGAGAGAGAAGAAGAAGGAGATGTACTTCCCCATTAGGAAATATGCTATCAAAGTGTAGGATAGGATCTTACTTCGGCTGAGATTTTTGTTTTTGGATCAAAATTATTTGTTGAACTTATCAGCAATACAAGTTTTGTTTTGCTATGTTTCGTCTGTGACATTTGATACATGATCAATGTGTTGGGAATATGACTTTATGTTAAATGTCTTGTTTGTTGTTAGTGGTTTCAACGCTACCGTGTACCAAATCTCTTCATCTTTATGTTTTAGCGTTTGAATATCATTCAATTTGTCAGTGACGCGTGAAATCAATTAGTATGTTTTTGATTGTTGCAGCATCAATCATTGTGATATCTGAACAAAATAGAAATGTTATTTCTGCTGGAATTGTTGCTCACCAAATAAAAATTTCAATTCTAAAATTTTTGGTGAAATCCCAACTGTGACGGGAACTTCAAATAAAAATTCAGTCTTGATATCAATAATCTGTATTAATCCATCGTTTAACATTCTTACATAGGATAAAAATTTCACATGAAAACATACATTACATTACGTACAGAGAAAGGTTGGATTGAAGACTATCAAATCAAGAAAGATCCTTCGAAAAAATAATACTGTAACTTACCAACTCAATAAATGTCCAAAAACATTCAATAAATCTTCCTTCCTCTATCTACCCAGCCTCTTCTTGATCGGTAGAAGAACCAGGAGGTAGATTCAAGACTAATTCAACGAGATATGCCTTGCCTACATTAAGATTTGAACATTGTGGGATCGAGATTGGATTTCTATCCAAACGACCAAACCCATTTTGAGTTACTGGGTCTAAGATATATTATTTGTATTTATTTAGTGAACTGTTCAACACATACAAGGTTTGAGCCAAAGTTACTAGGTTCAGATAAACCCGTAACGAGCACTAGATCTGCTCTAGCGTGCAGGTTTCAATTGACGAGCACACTCTTCCTGTGGACGGGGAATAGATTGCCAACCAGTGCAAATGTGGAGAATAGCTTTGAGGGAGTCTGAGGCTGGTTCCAGCGTCCAGACAAGGTAAAATTCACTTGGATGAAAAACACACTCTCCACCAACAACAGTTAACAAACTCCCTTGAGCTCCATTCAGAAACATGTCCCCTTCAGATCTAATTAAACCAGTTCTTGCTTCCTCCTTATCTGCTGCCTAAAATAACCAAAAAAGATGAGAAGGAAACGATACATAAAGACCCTTCGTAGTAATGATACAACAACATACCCAGTGTAATCTTGGTGGAGTCTAGGGCAGGTGATGTGTATGTAGCCTTACCCCTACCAAATGAAAGATAGGGAGGCAAATAAGTTGTTAAGAGAAACAGAATAACAGTAAGAAACAAACATCAATATTTTTTTTTTGGACACATTAAAAATCCCAACACTCCATCTCAAGCACGTTTAGGAAACATATGTATATTTTTTTTTATAACCGTGGTGTCAGGGCCAACCTGCTCCCACCTCCTACCAGCCACTCCACCAAGGCTAGAACATATGGGAAGAAATACATACATGATGTTTCAGGATTATAGCTAGAACCACCCTTCTTTGGATCCACCTCACATTAGTAATCTGATCCATGCTACGTATAAGGTAGTTTTAGACAAGTTTATTTTTGTTAGTACAACTCGTAACAAACTATCTTCCGGGGTTATATGATGATTCTTTCACGACCTGGGGTGTTACTTTACCTAATAAAATATCATCCTTCTCTACCCAGAAGTCAATTAACTCCTCCAAGAACTAGAACTGGAATATTGAGTGTACTTGCCTTACTTGACTTGAACATAAAGATTTCCCAGACGCTAAGTTAAAGTATCGAATCTTGAGATTGCTATAGGCCCTAACAATAGTGTGTAAGTTCCTCAAGTAGTCACAGGCAGATAAACTTATCGAACAACTAGAAAACTATTAGAAAGGAAAATAGTAAGAAAAATCTACTTCCGATGTATCAATATAAGTGAACCTTGAATCAACTAGTGTTGCAAAATCACTAAGTAGGTGTTTGGACATGCGAGATCATACCGCGATATGAAATCAACATTTGGACATGCGATTTCACGCATTTCATCTCATGATTTTATCATGAGATGAAATCCCAAATTCTCCAAAAATCATGATTTGGAAATTTCAAATCATGATTTGGGATTTTTTAAATACAAAAATTGACTCACAAGTTTATATTTTTTAAAAACAGCCCCATTTTTATATCTATTAACCATTTATTTCATATATAAATAAAATTTATAATTCATATTATTATTTTTTAAACCATTTACATCTCATATAATAATTATTATCACTAACGTAGAATTTATTATTACTTCAACAAATCAATTTCTACTTTACCATTTATATTCACCAAATTCATTATTTTTAATCAAATCTATTCACCAACCAAAATGACGAACAAATGGCTCAAAGTAACAATGTTGGTTCGTTTTCACAGTCATATGAACAAGAAAAGCAAGTTCAATGTGAGAGGACTATATTAAAGACTAGTACACCACAACTAATATATGTTTAATTTTTTTTTTATTGAATTAAAGCTTGATCAATAAATATTATATTTTTTAAGAATATTTTTGTGATAGTTTATTATTGGATTTTATAAACTTTTGCTTATTTAGTAAGATTGCATAAATAATTGAGACAATTTTAATAGTTTTACAACTTATGGGTTTTATGTTTATGAGAAAACATACAACATAAAAAAGTCCAAATCGCATATCCAAACAAAACTTCAACTTCATCTCATGATTTCATATCGCATGGCCAAACAGGCCCTAAGAAAACCATCTGAAAAAAAAAAACAAATATAGTGATGCTGTGCAAATTAAAAAGGCATTGCATTACCTTCTCTGTGTAGTATTCGAAAGCTTTTTTCTTCTGTGTAGCTTCATATATGTTGCATTGAGAATATATCTGGAATAAACAGTAACAAACACAATGTACTTGGTTATAAATTATCAACATGTATGATGCATCAAACTACATCGAGGATAAAAGAAATTTACCTGTGATTCTACGCTAGCACAAATAGCATATATACCCCAATTTCTAGTGTAATTGTTGTACAGATGAACTTTACCAAATCTAACACGAGGTTGCCTCTGCCTCGTCCCATCGAAAAAGCAATGGTGGATGGTCACTCTGATACATCTATCACCAACATGAGACGGGTCTGCTCCAATAAGCATTGTCTTATCATGCTGAGCAAAATAACATCTGCAAAAATTCATGAGAATCATTAGTCTGCTATATAAGTACCGATATACAGAAGAATCAGAGAAACAACCATCCAGTACCTAGAAATAGTTATATCTGTGCTTTGTCTGGTAATATCGATTAGCCCATCATCATAATCACGAAGAGAACAGCGGTCTATCCAAATGTGCCTAGAATTTGGTTTTATTTGAATGCCGTCAACGTCATGACCTCTGCCACCTTCAAACTCCAAATTGCATACGATTATGTGCTCACAATCCTTCAGTTGTAAGCCTTTGCCAGTGAGTTTTATCCTTTGGCCACGACCATCAATAGTTTTATGGGATGACACGCGTAGGTAAGACGTGAGATGAATGGTGCCTGAAACTTCAAAAACAATCCATAGTGGTTCTTTCTTACGGCATCCATCACGGAGTGATCCCGGACCATCATCTACAAAGACGAAAGTGTATGGTGTTTAGCAACATGCTGGAAAACTTTCGGAAGCTACATACTACATTAAGATCAGTAACAATTGACATTTTAACTGCAAATTGACATGTCTCAATCCTTTGGATGCCCAAATTAAGTTCTTAACAGCAGGCCATGTTTATGCACAATAAACACCAACGCGTTTACGTCCTCATTTTTTGTTTCTCTTTATTAAAATTACTAAGGAGGTGTTCGGATTGGCTTTTTTGAAGTGACTTATAAGTTAAAAGTTAAAAGTCATAAGTAGGGAACACCCAACTTTTGACTTTTTTTTTGGGTACTTTTTCAGCCTTAAAAAAGTGCTTAAAAGCTCTTTCTCAAAAAATAAGTGCTTAAAAGCACTTTTTGAGTCATCCAAACACTTCCAAAACTAAAAAATAGCTTCAAAAGCCACTAAAAACAAGTCGATCCAAACACCCGCTAAGTTCTATGTCCACTAAATTGAAGTCATCTTTTCTTTCTTCGGAGAATCAAGAAGTGAATAGAAAAACAACATATCAGTAGATAGAATGTAAAATACAATTGCTACTTCTTTGTTAGGCAAAGACATACGGAAATGAACCACCCCTATTGCAACCAAACCGGATACTGCATAAGGCCTTTGGTAATAACTACTTTAGTTCGAGAGGAATGCAGAGGGTAAAATTACCCAGACCAATCTGTTGTCACCATTAACTTTCACCAATGAGGAAGAACTACTTATTATTCACATGACATTTTCTACATTCTAGCCAAGTTATTCTACAACAAACAACAACAAATCCAGTGTAATTCCATAAGTGGGTCTAGGGAGGGTAGAGTACACGCATACTTTATCCCTACCTTGAAGAGGTACAAAGGTTGTTGTTTCTGATAGACCTCGACTGAACAAATGATGATCGATTTGTGGAATAATAGTTACTATCCAAATTCATGCAGAAAATTATCTGAAGTGAGTGATTTCAATCCAATTTCTTTAACCTTTTCTTGAACATTAAATCTTTCGGAGCACATTATAAAATTGTTTAGACAACCCATATAAATAAAAATAGACTTCATTAAATCTAAATACAGAACACCACCATAACTATAACTATAACAATACAAATGAGAAGCAAAGTTATACATATGCTCCTTTTGGTGCTAATCATATCTTCTGATTTTGATAAGCTGTTTCAATTTCAAGCACATTAAATACCAGAACCCTTGAGGCTGCATCGCCAAAAAAAAGGTTTCTTCTCTATGTATCTATATATACATTAGGAGCCATTTGTCCATTAATTTTTTTTTCCTTTTCAAGGAAATACGTTTTATACATATCACCAAATTTTTGAAAACGTAGTTATGACTAGTTTTTCAAGTGAAATATACTTCCCATTAACAAGATTTCAAATTTTGCTCAACTTAAATGCATGTCCAAATGCAATTCCAACATCCAAATACACTTTTTTCATGTTAACTTTAAATACTAGTACTTTTTTTTTCAAAAGTCACACTTTTAGATGAATGTGTGTGCATACTAGGAGAGATATGATTAAGAATGAAGTTACAGGGGATAAGGTGGGAATGACCTCCATCGCTGATAAGATGAGGGAAGCAAAACTTAGATCATTCATACATGTGAAGAGGAGGTAAGATACGCCTATGAGGAGGTGAGAGAGATTAGCTATAGCAGAAGTTACGAAAGGTTAGGTAGGTCAAAGAAGAACGGGAGGGGGTGATTAGACAAGCTATAACACAATTTCAACTGACTGAGGACACGACCCTAGATAGGAAGGCATAAATGTCAAGTATTACAATAGAAAGTTCATAGATAGTCGAGCTTTCTCGTACTTCCAATAATATGATTTAAGTATCCCATTGTTTTTCTCTCCAATGTGTATTAATATCTGTTGCTACATTTGTTTTGTGCATTAATATTTTGTTGACTCTTTTATTCTTACTTCCCTACTTTTTTAAGCCGAGCTTCTATCGAAAACAACCTCTCTACCCCACAAAAATACCGTGACATCATCAACTTAAGATAACAAGTCTCATACAACAAAACACAACACCGAAAATATGTTGGATATATAAGTAAGCAAAACTTACACACTAGTAATGCCTTTTAAAACCATGTTGGCCTATACTAAAACGGACAATATCACTAGCGAACTGAGTCATTACAAATACACTCTACCCTTGTAATAATCCCCAAAACACAATATTATACAATACACATTCAGTCAATAAGGAAAATGAAACAACGGAAGTAAGAGGAGGAAGAGGAACATACCGGCTAATGATGTGACGGAATAGACCGGACCATTTAGACCGCCGATCGCAAATCTGCCGAACCCTTCGGCTCGACCGGCTAGAGCTTTTAAGCTCGAATCGACATCAGCATATGGCAACGCCGCCATGATCAGCAATTTACTGAGCTCTAGGTTTTTGGTGGATGAACCGGGAAACTTTAGCCGCCGGCCGGTGACTTGAACCGGAAGAATCAATTCAACTGTATTTATATTGGAGTTTAGTTAAAGCTTCTATATTGGAGATCTTAAACAAAAAAAAAAAGGCAATAGTAAACTTTATCCTAAATTCGCAACAAGAAAATATAACAATAACATATTCAATATTTTTATAAATAAAGTGTGCCGACCTTATAGCTACGTAAGGATAAAGAGGTAATATTTTAATAGATTCGAAAATAATTTTCAAAACAAATATAAAAAGTAATTTAAAAATGATGAAAATATTAATCAAAGTAAAAAAAATATTATTAATAATAAAATTGATGAATAAGATAATACTAGCATAGATACATTAATATTAATTCTACTTTTCTTTGGTTAAACATGATATTTATAAATAATATCAAAAGTCGGCACTACCATTTTGAGAGCCCCTCTTACACCATTAATACTATTAACATCCGTTTCTTTAATGGTCTGTTTGGAAAATCACCTGATAATTAAAATTGGTGTAATTACTAAAATAGTAATTACCAGTCTAGTAATTACATTGACCTGTTTGGTGTCACAGTGTAATTACACTGTAATTACACATGTCATGTTTGGATGTCACAGTGTAATTACACATATTCTGTTTGGATGCACAATTGCAATCATAAAATTATAATAAATTTTTAAAATAAAAATTAATTATTTAAAATTTATACTAGACAAATAAGAAACTTTATAAATGACATTAAATTAAATATTTAAGATATATATTCTTTTTTGAAAATATATTAATTAATAAACATATTTTCTGTAACTTACATTATGAAAAAATAATTGATTTATATTTTTTCAAATTAATATATTTCAATTGAATTGATCGTAACAACTAAAAGTATGAAGTTTCTACGAACATCGTAAAATGCATGTTTGATAAAAAGAATAATATATAAATAAAATGTCATAAATTATTAAATGTTTGACAAAAATATAATTTATCAACTCTAATTAAAAAATGACGTGCAATGTAGATTCAATATTACTAAAACAAATGAAACTGAAAATATAACATAAGTTATAAATTCAAAACAAAATTTTTCACATAATACTCTTATAACAAATTTCAACATAGCAATAAATATGATTTAGTTTTAGTTTTTCTTAATAAAGAAAACGTAAGTCTATAACTTACTTAACAATAAATTCTATTTTAATTTAAAAATTAGAATATAATAAAATTATGCTAATGAGAAAATAAGCATGACATAAAGAAATAGATAATACGAAAAAATTACATAGAATCACGTAAAGTAAGGTAGAGAATAAGAAGAAAATGAAATATAATAATATAAAATAAAAAATAAACTTTTACAAATTTTTAGAATAATAAAATTAAAAAAAGAACTTAACATAATAGAAGTAAAAAAAATTAAAATAGAAATAAAAAAAATATATCAAGTGGTAATTTACACCATATAATTACCAGCAATTCACAGCCTCTGCCTGTGAATTGTAGAGTGTAATTACCCCCTGCCAATTACACCAATTACCTGCTGACCAAGTAATTACATGTCCTTTCAAACATAACAAGACAGTGTAATTACATCAGTTACACCAAATCCAATTATCAAGTTGTCCTTCCAAAGAAGCCTAAATGTAAAATAAAATGTACGAACTACAATGATTATTATTCTTTTGATTAACTTTTTATATAATTTCACATGAATCAAGCCTTTGTTTATGATTTTCTTTTCTCAGATCCTTGAAAGTTTAAATTTTAAACGTTTTATCAAGTCTAGTTTAATACAAAGTGAATGATTTTTTCAATTTTAAATATATGTTGTTAGTTACTTTACATTCTCTCATTCATCTTTATCTTCTTTTATTAATATTATATTTCGATCTTTAAATAAAATACACAATTTTATCAAACAATAATAACTAAAAATGACAATATTAAATATGTAGATGTATTATTGATCAAATCTCTTACATGACATAAGATATTTAAGATTTTTGAAATTTCATAGTACAGCCCGAATTGATATCATTCATTATTTAGATCATACAGAATAATGGCTAGTTGATTCTACATGTTTTAGAGATAACGATTCAATTTGCACACACTTAAGCTTAGTTGGAGAGAGAGAGAAAATAAATCAAAACCTAGTAAATGTAAGAGTAACTTACAGAAATATTATGAATCTTATCAGATTATGAATTTTATATACATGTATTTGACACGTTTAAATACATGTATGATAGATATACAGGGTTAAAAAGAGGTGTAATTTATTCTAGATACAATGTATCCATGTGGATTCAAATATATATATATATATATATTTGGCTCTCTTGCTCTCCTCTCTCGTATCTCACTCGCCATTTTTTTCTCTCTCGATCACCTCTCTCCATGCATATGGTGTCCCAAATATATGTATTTAGTATTCAAATGCATATATTTAGTGTGATTCACATGTATCTGAGATGATTCACATATATTTTGGAATTTCACTCACCTTCCTCCTATCTCACTGGCCTTTCTACTTCTCTTACTCACCTTTTTCCTTATTTTAGTGTATCTGATAGCAAAAATGCATGTATCTAATTATATCTAACTTGATTATTAGTTAGTGAGACAATATATAATTCTTTTAAACTATAGAAAGAATTAATAAATACGATAAAAATATTTATCTAATTAGATAATCTTTTCTAAAAGAAAGCCATTATGATAAAATTTTCAAACTCAAACCCATAAAGGGTAAACTCTTGATAATTATAGCACAATGTCAAGGTAAGCAAACTTAAAGTTCGTGTAAAAGTATTTATATTATAAAATGTGGCTATATTCTAAATAGTACTATCAAAAGTGTTTACTTGGTCTCACTTTTACTTTCATCTCTATATGATGAAAATTTGATAATTTTTTTAGAAGCGTTGTCGATCTTATAAACTATAAAGTGTGAATTTAAATTGAATTAAATTTTCAAATTCATACCAAATACAGGGTGAATAATTAAAAAAAAAAGTGAAAAATTTATGAATCAAAATAAAATCCTTTTAGTTCCACGAAGTGATTAAATAACATATGTTAGACACCTTTGATACAATAGGTTGTTGTACCCTAGCAATTTCAAACGCCTTGAACTCGTGTGTTTGAATTTCACTAACAACAATGTTTTTCCCTTTTTGAAAGGAGCTTTTGTTGTGCAATTTCTGAACATCATTCGTGAAATTCCTGGCTCCACTACTGGTCAAATCCCTCGGCTTAGGACCTCAGCGATTCCACCCCTACCCTTCTTTTCTCTCTCTCTCTCTCTCTCTCTCTCTCTCTCTATCTTTTTGGTTTTCCATTCGGTGTTCTGAGTTCACATTGGAGCTCCGACTAAATCGGATCGCGCACTGTAGGGCCCATTCGGGGGTGGCGCTCCCAACATGATTTTCTCCATACCCAGGGATCGAACCCCGAAACCTCTGGTTAAGGGTGAAGCACTCCCACCAGTGCACCACAACCTATGTTGGTACCCTTCTTTTCTCTCTGTTCATACTCTCTTCGCTAGTTCATTACTTACTTTTCAAAAGGAAAAATCCGTTTGGCCAGAAAATTTGGCCAGAATGGTATTTTACTTGTGCTATTTTATCTTTTTGAACATTTTTACCTTTTTAACTTTAGTATCTTTTAATTAAAAAATGAAAAAAAGATTAATTTATTTTAAAATAAAAAAAATATTATAATTTTTTTAAATTTTTGGCCAAATTCTGATCAAATTTTCTGGTCATTTAGCATTATCCTTTTCAAAAATATACTCCCTTTGTCCCTAATTACTTGTCCACTTTTAAATTGACACACCTATTAAGAAAACAATTATTGACATAGTGAGTTTACCATTTTACCCCAATTAATTATGAAGTGGACGAATTAAAAACTTTACATTTTCAAAAAATTCTACCTTTTTCAAAGAAATCAATTAAGGGTATAATAGGTAAAAAACAATTGTCCTTGCTTGATTTGTCAAAATGGACAAGTAATTAGAGACAAAATGAGTATTTTTTATATTAAACACACCCATATAATTATACCAAAAAACACGTACTTTGATCTTTTTCCAAAAAGAATATTTATCTGAGCATCCTTGATTCACGTGGTTTATTAAATTTTACATTAATTTAGAACGTGCACAGATGATTTAATTTAATTTTGAGCTACTCCCTCCGTCCACAATTAATTGTCATGGTTTCCTTTTTTAAAGTCAAACAATAAGAACTTTGACCAACATTTTACGATGTATATTTTCATCATATTGATATGCAAAAAATTGCAACTTATAGTACTTTTCGTATAGTTTTGAATATCTAATTTTTTTTAAAAAAATATCGAATTAACATAATCTAATTTAACTTTAAAAATTAGTCAAATTGACTTTCGACATGACAAATAAAAGTGGACAGGGGAGTAACAGTTATTCATTAAATTCCTCTTAATTATTTCCTACTTATTGATTTATTATAATCATAAATGGTCTCAGAAAGTAGTATAACATTTTATTGTGTATCTAATGATTTCGTTGTGCAATCCGGAAATGCTTTTTTCGTTTGTTAGGTATTTATTTATGCACATTCAGAAATTAAATAATATAAATATTAGTTGAAGTAAGCTTATAAATTGCTTGTTTATTTATTACGTCTTTATTTAACTATTCAAACTAGCTAGTAACACAAATTATGTTTATTACTAACATATATACGTGTTTTACTTGTTGTTATCTTCCTTTTTAACATGTTTTAGTAATGCGTTGTTGTGTCAGAATTTATCATAAATAATTTTTGAACATCATTCGTGAAATTCCTGGCTCCACTACTGGTCAAATCCCTCGGCTTAGGACCTCAGCGATTCCACCCCTACCCTTCTTTTCTCTCTCTCTCTCTTTCTCTTTTTGGTTTTCCATTCGGTGTCCTGAGTTCACATTGGAGCTCCGACTAAATTCGGATCGCACACTGCAGGGCCCATTCGGGGGTGGCGCTCCCAACATGATTTTTTCCATACCCAGGGATCGAACCCCGAAACCTCTGGTTAAGGGTGAAGTACTCCTACCAGT